ACTGGCACCAAACCTGGGATCCAATTCCCAGAGACCCCAAAACAAACCCCAAAACAAACCCTATTGATGGCACGGCCCAGGCTTGGAACCCAAAACAGGGAATTCTGGAAGGAATTTTAGAAGGGATTCTGGAAGGAATTCTGGAAGGGATTTTCGGAGCCTGGACGGGGCTCGGGGCCCCATGGCACAGGGGAAGGTGTCCCTGCCCACGGTGGGACTGGAGGGGCTTCCAGGTCCCTTCCAGCCCAAAGCACTCCAGGATTCTGTGGCTTTTCCAGCCCCTCCTGGCTCAGGAACAGCCGGGACCGGCCACACCGTGACTGCAATTCTGCTCCTGGCAGTGTCCTTTGGGAGCGGAAAGGTGTCCCTGCTCCTCGTGCCATCCTCACCCAAAGCTGCCCCAGCTCCAGGCCTGGCCCTGTGAGCCCCCACAGGGGACAGAGGTGACATCCAGGATCATCCCCCGCTCACTGTGTGTCCCCACACCACAGGGGACAGAGGTGACATCCAAGATCATCCCCCACTCACTGTGTGTCCCCACCCCATAGGGAACACCCCACAAGGTCCAGACCTGGCCATGTGAATCCTGACAGAGGTGTCACCTGGGATCACCCTCCGCTCCCTGGGTGTCCCCACACCACAGGGACAGAGGTGTCACCCGGGATCAGCCCCCGTTCCCCTGGATGTCCCCACACCACAGGGGACACCCAACAAAGTCCAGCCCCCCACAGGGGACAGAGGTGTCACCTGGGATCATCCCCTGCTCCCTGGATGTCCTCGACCCACAGGGGACACACCCACAAGGATCAGCCCCCGCTCCCTGGATGTCCCCACACCACAGGGACAGAGGTGTCAGCTGAGATCACTCCCCTCCTTGCTGGATGTCCCCACCCCGCAGGGGACATCCCACAAGGTCCAAGCTCAAGTTTGCTCTGTTTGTCCCCTCACAGCCACACAAACACTTGTTTCTCCTCAGAGATGTCTCACACCCAACTGCCCATGGAGATTGCTCTGAGGCTCCAATTTGAGCTCCTGTTTGATGCCCACGGGGTTGGCAGGGAAGGAAGGGATTTTGGAAGAAATGAAGGCATTTTGGAAGGAAGAAATCTTGAAAGGAAGAAATTAAAGAAGGAAATTTGGAAGGAAGGCATTTAGGAAGAAAGGAATTTTGGAAGGAATTTTTGCATTTTGGAAGGAAGGAATTTTGGAATTTTGGAAGGGAGCAAAGGACGGAGGGGAGGAAGGAAGGAAGGCAGAAAGGAAGGAAGGAATTTAGGAAGGAAGGTATTTAGGAAGGAAGGCAGGTGAGGTGCCCATCCCAAAGTGCTGCTCCAGGCATAGTCCCAGATTTATTCCCAGAGCGGGTTTTAATCCTTAATCCCAGAGTGGGTTTTAATCCCCAGGCA